TATACGATGCAATGAAAAGTGCATGGCCTGCAGAAATAGTTCATGATGATGACCTGAGAGCTTTTATTTTTTAAAGTCTTTCAAGGATTTATAAGATTTCATTGTGCATTACATTGAAGCATAAAATATTTTCTTATGGAAGTGGAAGCAATCAGCCAATGCCAATAGACCTCAATTTGGGTACTCAAGATAATTTAGAAGATAATGATCAATACCATGATTCAGAAAATGACTTGGGAAATGCAGAAATTGAGTACACTCAAAATATGAAGAGGAAAACACTACAACACAGCTAGATGAGTTGCTTTGTGAGAACATGCAATTTGAGGATATGCCACATGTAGAGGTTGATAAAGTGTTCCAAGATAATGTTGAATTCAATGACTTGCCTCGTGAAAACATGGGATGTGATGATGTTCCAGCTATCGATGTGCACTCTGATGAACCCAACCCCAACAAACCAAATGCTCGGAACAAGGATAAAAATTATGTAAATGGATCAGACATGACATAGCTATGCAACACAAGTGCAGATATAAATGTAGGTTAAGTGCATGAGACTAGGGAGGATATAAACATAAAGTTGGGTATTGATGCTATGACGAAAAATTATGAGTTAAAAGTGAAGAGATCCAATAAAGAAAGATTTGAAGTTGGTGTGTCGATGCATATCTTGTTCACGCATTTGATCATCTTATGGTGCAAATATTTAATGTTGATTATAAAGTGGGTGATTATCTTATGCGGCTGGATATGAAAAGTGGGCTTGTGCACACTTTAATAGGAAGCGGTACAGCCTAATGACAATAAATATTGCCGAATGTCTCAACTCAATCACTAGAGATGCTCGTAAATTACCTATTACCAATTTTATGGAGTATTTAAGAATGAATATACTTCAAAAGTGGTTCCATGAACGTCGAACTGAGGCAGCTAAAATGGATTCACATTTGACAGAGTGGGCAGACAATTTGGTGCGAGAAAATAACAAGAAAGGGTTG